AGTGACAAGTTAAACTTTTTGGTTTTGGCATAGGGTCCAAAGAGGGCAGGACAAAGTATGTTTTTTATTACTCGATACATGTCCAAATTTAATTTCGTGTATGTCCAATTACTTATCATCTGTATCACTCATCAACTTATTTTTTTTTCGTATGAGATATTTTTTTAATAGAGATATCTCATACAAAATGCATCCATCGTACAATGATAGTCCCACGCTTTCCCGGATGTCGGCGAAATTAATGGCTTGCAATTAGTTTGCCTGTTGCAAAATAGTTTGAAAATGATCGCATTGTTTTAGTTGATGGTACATCAACATCAACATCAACATGCCATGGTCTTCCTTTTAAGAGGACATTGTTTTAAAATAATAATAAATGATATGAATCAGAATTCTGCAGACGAAACTGCGCGTGGACGTCGAACTTGAAGACAATGGTAAAATAGAAATGAATTAGGTGTAAGCGGCATTTTGCTTTAAAGAAAGTTGCATGAAGTTTCCAATAAGAGTTAAGAATCAGCCTTGAGATTTTTAGCCATTTAGGTAAAATTTTTAACTATATAGGTTACGGTTTCACACTAAGGAATATTCAACAAGATTTTCAATTATGTTCTTGGCTTCTAAAAATCTATTATATTTTCTTGGAAGTTTCCTCGAATTTTTTTTTTAAAATATGTTATTTTATTTTCAGGTTTTGTATCTATTTATTATATGTATATCTAATGTATTTCTTTATTTTTTTCAGGCTTTTTGTCATGGGACTCATCAAAATGCCACGTGGACTTAGAAGAGGAACTGTCGGCTTTGACTCAGCAGGCACCACAAGGGGAAGAGGCCAGACATGGTAGGAATATATTATTATTTTTGGGTTTATACATACATATATATATATATATATATATATATATATTAGGTTAAAATTACATCTATATTATGCAAACTCTGTTTTTTCCTGTTTACTTCATTATCCGTTTTAAATTCTGCACTCTCTTTGAAGTTTGTTTCACTTTAAGGGGTTATTCTAGTGTAGAAATTCAAAAAAATCAATTTTTTTTATTTCATATTTTCAAAGTTTAACTATATAAGAATATGGGTACGAGAAGGTTTTTGAAAATTTGAATTATTTTCGGAAATATAGGCATTTTACTGACTCGGTCTCCATACTGGTTTGGCTTCATGCAAAACTTTAAATGCGTTTTTCTCAGATCAAACTTTTTTAGTACTGTTGACACGATTTCTCGAGTTCTATTCGATCGATTCACTTGAAATGTTCAGAGAGTCTTGTTTATAGATCTATCTATAGTCTGAACTAGAATCATCCCGAAATTCCTATTTTTACTATTTTTAAAAAATTCGAGAAACTCAAAAAAACAGTAAAAAAAACCTTTTTTTTTAAACAGTCGCCAATTTGTGAAAAAAAAATTTTTTCACTCATCGCTAGTTCAGCCGGTTGCGACATCATTGTAGATTAATAATCGTTTTATTTTTTGCATTTCTGATGGCTAGGAGGGCTGAAATCATGTCAAGACTGAGATGCCAATTTTTTGAGACCACCCACTTTATCAGCTGCCAGTTTTTACAATTTTCAACTTTTTAATTTTTTAATTTTTGTTTTGTATTTTAATAATATTAATAAGCAAGTGGTAAAAAAATGTATAGTAAAAACATTCATTGCTTACTTTTACGACACTTTAAAAATGACCTGAAATTCATCGCTCTACACTAGAATACCCCCTCAAGGTAAATTTAATCCATTTCGTGTAATAAATCATCATTATTGTCTCTTCTTTGGAATCAAGTTAAGACTCTAGGCAAATATGGTAACATTCTTGTATAATTTTATTTTTTATCATATTTTAGTTTTAAATTTTTTTCAAGTTTGAATCAATTTAGAATGTAATAAAAATCCATAATTAAAAATAAAATAAATAAATTAATTCTAAACGTTAATATTAAGAGCTGAAACTTTCAGAGAATTGTTTTTTATCAATTTGGAACCATTTGAGCCCTTGGGAACAAGGAAATTTGAAAATGTCCATATTAAGGACCACCCTAATATTATATATGTATATATATATATATATATATATATATATTGAATGGTAGAGTCTTGGATTTGTGTATATTTTGTAGAGTTTCGAACAAGAATCCAAAAATAATACAAAATAAAAAACAAGAAAAGTTTTTAAAAAAACAATTTCTTCATTTAATTATTTGTTTATTGTCGACGTTTCGGAACTAGGTACGTTCCATCTTCAGGACATCTGTCAAGAAACATGATCTTGATGAGATTTTTGCAAACAATATGTTTAGGAAAAGAAAATAGATTTTTCTTAAATAATGAATTAAATTGTAAAAAATATAATAATGTACAGAAATATGATAATATGTTCAAATAAAATGATAAAAATAAATGAGTGGATTATCAAAACAGGATATTAAACATAATAGAAATTTTTTTTTTTTGAAAGTTATGGAAATTTTTTAAGAAAAGGTTAATGACAAAGTTGAATTAATTACCTGTATGTTTGAATATTTGTTAGCACTTTTTCACTAAACAAGCTTTTTTAACAAAAATGATTTTGTGAGTTAATTTTCCGCCGAATAACGGAGCTTTAACGGAGCCACTCTTTCCGCTTTTTCAGACGTTAATTATTTTTTAATTGCGGATGCAAAATACAGGTAAACATTTTGATATGATATATTATAGGTGTTGAAGTTATCTAAATTAGTAGAAATGAATTAAAATAGTAAATGGAACTAAGATTTGTATTAATTTCTTACTATATTCTATGCGAGGATAAAAGTTTATTTACGTTATGTAAAAATGGATTAATTCATGAAGATAATTTGTTTAACGTATTTTATTGAAATTATTTGCAAAGTGCGAATCAACATGACACATAGAAATGATTTAATGCAGAAAACCTAAATCTAAAACTTCTATTTGACTAACTTTATAATAAATATGTACAATATTTAGTTTTCTTGTAAATTGGATTTTATTATTTACATTATTAATAATAATGTTTTAATTTGTAATAATGCATCCTGTAAAATGAATTTTTAAGTGTATTTCAGTTGTGATTATTATATAACACAAAATTACTTATTTCTTGTTCTATTGCTGATGCTTATAATTTTATTCTTCATATTAAATTAAATTCCAAATTAATTCCTTATTACTTAAATACTGAATTATGTAACAATACCTTTACGGATATAATTTTTGTAATTGAATAATATAAAGTACCTCGTTCAATTTAAATTAATAAATTATTAATACTTAAAGAATTGAATGATATTTTAAATCAATAGTAATTATTCATTATTATATCGGGAAGTATTATGAAATATATTTTCCTGGTTATAAATATCTATATAATTTGTGTTGTTATATAATTATTCATTATTTTGCTCTTTTTTTTAGTATTGATTAATTTTAAAATATTATTGTTATTTATTATTTACTTTCTGGTTCAAAAGAGAATTTTGGGTACGGTTGTGCCAATTTTTTTTGATCAGCAATAATTTTGCTAGTTTACCAATACCAAGAAAACTGGCTTTTGGTCATTTAAAAGCATTGCAGTTCACATTAATATAAGGCGCCGACTCAACGCAATAATGGAAACTTGTTCGAACAAACATACCTAATATTTTTTCCTTTGGATCCTATCTCAAAATCAGTATAGTTTAGCTTCTACAACAATTCTTTCACCGTATTCAGTCTCCCTTATTTTTGTTCATATTTTTGTAAATTATATATTTACTTTAATATATAAAAATTCATATTTATTTCAAAATTGCAATTTGAATTTATTCAAAAATCACTATTTTCAACTTGTTTTCAAATATACCCATGTATATAAAAAAAATAATTTTTATATAAAGCCTTTCAACAGACATTCATCCAGATCATAGAATAAGACTGAATTATGTTACTATAGTTCTTTAATAACTTCCATACATTTCTTCTTCAGTAGATAAAACAAAATATTTTGAAAAAAACACCATGAACAAGAAAAACCACTTTCGATGAGCAACTTGAATAACTGTCATGTTAGTAAAAAGAAGTAAATAATATTTAATTATAAAAAAACTTATAATTAATTTATAAATGACGTCCATCCTGACCAAAAGTTTATGTACATGGTTATCAGATATCTGGATTCTTCCCAATTTTTTAGTGATATTATTTTACATTCAACTACATCATGTAGAAGCACTTTTAGAATGGATCTAATCTAGTTTTCTTTCCAGAATCTAGGTGCTCAGTAAAGTTCTTTCTTCTTTTTATTTTTTCAGGACTTCTTTATATGTCATCTAGTCTGTCGAATTTACTTTCTTCATTATGTTTTTTTATATTTTTATTTATTATTTTGTCAATCAAGACTTATAAAGTCATCTCATATATGTGTGTGAAAATTTTTGACGTTTATTTTTTTTTAAATCTTTTCTTAATATCAAAAAATTAACCATCACCTTTTTCAGGAGTAGCCCTTAATATGGATATTTATGAATTTTTTTTGCGCCCAAGAGCTCAAATGCTTTCAAACTCATATAAAAACAATCTCTGGAAGTTTTAGCTCTTAATGTCAACTTTAAGGTGGTCCGCAAACCAACAAAAGTTTTTTAAGGAAATAACATGGATAAAATTCCATTTGTTTTTTATAATTTTATAACTTAGCCACAAGTGAATCAAAATTTTGCGAATAACATTGTATTTACTTATTTTGATCATAAACAAAAAAAAATTACAACACAAATTTGATATATTTTATAAAATAAGTATTTACTTATAAAGAAAAGCCAAGAAACTTTTATTGGAGTGCGGACTATCTTAAAGTTAATATTAAGAGCTAAAATTTTCAAAGAATTTGTATTTATCAATTTGGAAGCATTTAAGCTCCTGGGAGCAAAAAAATTCGAAAACTTCCATATTAAGGACCACCCTTGTGTTCATAGTGTTTTACCTTGTTCCTAATAATGTTTGCTGATTGATGCATTTTTTTTTAAGGAGAGAGACTGATCCAATACGCCACCGAGAACCTGGTGACCGAGATCCTGATCCAGCCTCAGACCAATACCCTGGTGCAATGTATGCGCAATCTGCTGTCCAGCTTCACCAGACACAGGCACATAGTGCATGCAGGATACGCCTTCCAGGGGAACGGCAGCTGGATATTACAGGTAAATAATACTAATACTTCACCAAATTCATGTTAATACTTTGGGGACGGCTGTCCACCTCAGTGGACAAACATACTCTGTGAGACACAGGCTATTCTATAAACAATGACTCAGTTTGCATCGCAAAGTTGTATAAATTACATATAGCAGTCAAAAACAGTGTTGTATTTTGAAAATAATTTTAAGTTATTTTAGTAGTATTTTTAGCTTTTTTCTTTGCTATATGGTCTTTTTTTTAATATTTAAAACGACCGAGCGCTTTTAAATATGGCAAAACGACTAGTAAATTTTGTGAATTAAGCAGTGGTGAAGATGAGTTTCAAATAGACAGTCATGCAGACAAATTTTACGAAATTACTATTCGCACCTATTATAGTGATGAATGTGATGATGATATTATCCAACCAACAAAAAAAAAGAAGTTCGACACAATTAATGAAGAGCGGGAAGACATAAGCGAATGTGCCGATTCTCCTTCAATAATCGAGTTTGACATACATCAACAAGCACCCCGACTACAAGTACCAAGCAATACAAGACATCCAATAGATTATTTTACTTTATATTTTACAAATGAATTATTAGACAATATAATAGAGAAAACAAACCATAATGGCAGCACAAAAATGAACAAATACTGACTAATCAGTGGCATATTCTGGAAGGCGGCGAACAACATTTTATTGTAAAACATGTCAAAATCAACCAGCTATGCATTTTGGAAATTGTTTTGAACGTTAGCATTCTTTATAAAATGATCAAAAATAAATTAATATTATAAATGTATGTCCTTTAATGACCACAAATTTTTATCAAACAAATTGCATAACATACACAATGAAATCAAGTTTACAGCCGGTACAGTAGAGTGTTTTGAAATCGGTGCCGTCCCGAAAGTGTTAATATCAAGTTGTTCATCCAAGGCAAATTGCCAACCAACCACCAACAACTTCAATATTTATTCCCACGTCAATTTCCTTGTCTTTACAAGTCCTTTAACATCTCTCATATCACCACACTATATATTTCTCTACTTATCACGATCTGTTTTTTTTTTGGCTATTGCGTTACATAAGCCCCCCCCCCGACTATAGATTTCACATATCCCACATGAAGAGAATAAGTGTCCGAAGCACTTTAGCTGTCATTGGGCGATATGAGATCAATATTTAAGGAAAAACTCTCTCATCACGTACCAACGTATTTCCTTTAGAAAAGCCGGAAAACGAAAACGGTATATGGTGGCGATTATGGCTTTATCGATGGATATTGATATATAGATACGGAATATGGGAAAGAGGTACTATACCTAGTATAAAATATTTTCTGGAAGTAAATTTTTTATAATCATATTCTGTTGGTCTTTAAAGCTATTTACTTCTCGTGTCTTCTGTCACCCATTTAATTTCTTTTATTGATATTAAATTTTTTTTTAAATAGTTTTTCGGTATTTGATGAAGTATTTTTCAACTAGGTGTAAGTCAAGTAGCATGCACTTTCCAACTTGACTTAATCAACCGAAATTGAGAGTTAGCTATTTAGTTAAAATTATTAACTAAAATGCTAGGGATTTTACTAAAAATGTTTAATTGATATTTTTTAAACAGGCTTTTAATATACTCTATTGCATTAATTATAGAGCATTGTCAGGTGCTCGAATGATCTAAAAGTTCAACCTTTTATTCGAAACTTTAATAAATTTTGAATATCGTTATACAAATTTAGAAAATTAAAAGTTTGTATTTACTGTTCTTGTTGAATTTCCGTAGGGTAAGTTATAGTAATCGTTCAAAAATCAACTAGTTGTGTATGACATCGTGCCTTAAGGCAAATTGTTGGAATTTCCCGTACCGTAATGAAATATTCGAGACATTTTAAACCTTTTCAATTATTATTTCAAATACTGTAATGATCGAGGAATATTAAATGTTTTCAAATAGATTTTTATAAGTATTGTAACATTGTTTAATATTTATAATAATTATTTAAACTGAATTGCAATGTTAAAATTATTTATTTAAAGTATATTAGAACAGAATTAAAAATAAAATCTGAATTATTTTCAATATACAAAAAAAAAGTTTTTTCTTGAAAAAAAAAATTTTTTTAAAAAAAATTAAAGACAAAATTTTTTTTTCCAAAAGTAATTATTTTGTTGTGACAAGCTTAGTTCTCTCAAAAACTGTCATTTTTGCACATTTAGCTCTGTATCTTCGAAACGGCATGACCTGCTTTTGCCAAAAATTAATCAGCACATTTACTCATCAATAGGAATCGAATGTTTTGTGAATCATTCAAATTGGTTAAATCGTGTTCCCGAAATCGTGGACGAAAAATAGTATCTAAACATACACACACATACTTCCATTTTTCCTAAGGTATGCCAAAATGCTCAGAAACCTTTGAAACGTAAGATATGGAATAATTTTCATTTTTGATTTTTTTACGAATACTATTCTACTATACTCCCCTACGGACAATTAAAAATATAAAAAATAATATTTTTTGCGGTATAAATACAATAATATATTTAATAACTTTTAATAAGTTTGCTGAAAATTGATAAAAAAAATTTAAGGATTAAATAAGGAATTAATTAACAAATGAATGCAATGTTTCCAAGTTTCCACTTTATGATTTAAACTTCAGTTTTTGTAAGCGTTTTATATTTTTTTTTATTTCTCAAGACTCAATTTCAATCAAATATAAAAATCATTTAGTAATTACGAATGACAATATGTAAAGTTAAGACTAAGATTTTACCCATTGGTATCCCTTTTTGTGTAATTTTTCCTTTTTGTGTATCCCAATTTATAAAATTTAATATTTAATTATTAATATTTAATTAAAATGTAGTATGAAAACTATTCTATTTGTTAAAATATATTATTGAAAGTATTTATTTCTCATGAGTTCTGTTACACGTTATTTTCTTAGTTCGATATTTAATTTGCTTTAAATTATTATATAATTTCATTTTTTTTAAGTAAAGGATTTTTCAATAATATCTATTTGATATAGGTGTATAGTTTTTGAGGCAGTTTTGCTTCCGAATTTGATTTGATATCTACTTTGCCTTCCGCGAGATGGAAAATTTTCAGAAACGAACTTGTTAGAGCAGTGATAGACAATATTCACTGTAAAAGGTCACATGTTTCAATACTTATATTCAAAATGATAAACTAAAACGCTATACATAAATAATAAATATATTAATACTTAAGGGGCTGCTCATACTTTGAAAAATTTATGTTTATGATCAATTTTAAAAAAAACTTTTAAAGTCTACGCTCTGATACTAATTTAAATACTCATCTTTTTCGCCATTTTAAAAGTGCATATTTATTGGTTTTATATTTTTGATCCGGTCAATGATTCTACTTATAATATATAATATATATATATATATATATATATATAAACCTTAAGAAAAAATCTAACAAAAATTTAAAATAAATCATGCATTTAGAGTATTAGAGTCTAAATACTTATTATTGTTTTTCAGCAAAAGATATGACGAATACTAGATACTTCTATTTTATACTCTAAATTTTAGAGTATAAAAGTTATGGCATAACAAAATTTGTGACAAAAAAAGGAGGAAAATGGCTTTCATGAATTTCAAAATTTCTTCTAAAAACTTTCTATTGTTTACTACAGTATTCTTGGAATGACATTTGATGGTTTTCAGAATTTCATATTTTTTTTCACAATTTCATCGTGAAAAGTGTATGATATAAAATTTTAGTTACTAATATATTTTCAACTAAATTTTTGATTATCCTCAGAATTTTATCTTTTTCATCATCGCTTTCGAGTAGCAGATATTAAATTTAAATATCGATATCGCTTGAAATAACATCGATATCCGACGATGGATTGGATTATGCAAAATCGACCTACATTTCCGATATTCGTATCAACTCCGACGTTTATTAAATATACTCACCTGAAGATATTTTCATATAAAATACCACAAGTGAAAATGTAAATTCAGTAGGAAAAAAATATTGTGTCATATAACTTTTTTCATAATAATTAACTTTCCGTAGAGTAAGCTATAGGAATCGCAAAATAATCGAAAATAAAAATTTTTGCATATCTTTACGTTTCAGAGGTTTCTGAACATTTTGGCATACCTTAGAAAAAATGGATGAGTGCGTGTGTGTGTGCGGATACAAATTTTTTGTCGACGATTTCGGGAACACGGTTCAACCGATTTGAATGATTAAAAAGACATTCGATTCGTATTGATAAGGAGACGTGCTGATTAGTTTTTGGCAAAGGCAGGTCTAACCGTTTTGGAGATATGGGGCAAAAAGTGAAAATTTAAAAAACATTTTTCTTGTATTGATAAAATACACAACTGGTAAATTTTTTTATAGGCAGGTCCAGCGTCTCCGTAGATCCAATAAAAAAGTAAAAAAAATGCCATTTGGCGATCAAAAATGAACATCAAATTATCAGATAATTGATAAAATTTATAAAATTGAGTACACATTTTTTTGGGTTCTGTACCAAGATTGTTCATTTTTAAAGTTTACTTATACGGTTCCAGCAAATTTGAAAATTTTCACAAACAAATTCTTTTCAAAATTTTAAAAAATATACAGTTTTATACTTCAAATATGAATTTTAAATTTACAATTCAGTTTGAAAATGTATATATTTCAAATGCGTTATTCTGATCGTAAGAAATATATCCTCAGATGGATTTATTCGGCACCTCTTGCTAATGTAAACTTTCTCAAGTGTTTTGAGCGATAAGATCGTCACTGTATATTTTATGAACGATAAAATATATAGTGATTGATTATAATTATCTATTTGAAAATGTTTAAAACAATTGTTATTAATCATTGATCAATATCTGTTGATTACTGATTTTTTCCTCAAATATCTAATTCTGGTACTGGAAGTTCTAGCTATTCGCCTTAAGGCACGATGCCATGCACCACTAATTCAAAATTTTTATTAATTTATAAATTTTAATTGAATTA